TAAAAATAAACAACGCCACTTTTTTTCAAATTTTCTTGCTGTGGTTTTCACACCTGATGATGATGATTGCTCGTGTTGCGGTCGAAACGTCGTGAGAATTTTATTGTTTTATATATTTTTTTTATCATTTTATTGTTTCCCTTCTACGCGGTGGTGACTTTACCGAAAGAACCAAGAATATGAAATCCCCTGCAGTCACGAAAAAGCTTTAAATCAAAACTTAAGTAGAACGTGTTTGTCTATATTTATTTAAAGGTTGCGCATCTTGATGTGACGTCACATTTCTCAACACCCCCCCGCCGCCGTCCTCGTCACACATCGTCACAAATATCTGACCCCCCACCCCCGCCCCCGCTTGCCAACATTAGCAGACGAGATGATGCATCTGGAGCAGCGTTCTTCACTCATCATCAGCTCGGGGGGGGGGGGGGGCCCAAATATTGCGATTTGTCAAAGCGCGCTCGCCAAGCCAAACGTTGCCGCTCGAATTAAATTCAAGATAAAAACGTTGGGACGTGAATGGGAGCATTTTCATCGGGGGGGAACCCGACATCAAACCACCGCGTTTTAGAACAACCGTCGAAGAGAGATCTCACGCGGTGGTTGTCAAGAGGGGTGCCCCCCCCCCAACTCGTAGCTTCGGCCACCACGGGGTGGGTGGGTGGGTGGGCAAGGCACCGCCTGTTGCCTGCCTGCCGGCCCCACGCCACTGGATTTTAAACCATTGACAGCGGCACGGCGACCAATATGACGATGACGGGAAAGGGGAGAGAGGGGGGGGGGGTGTTTTCACTTATTGTGTATTGGCGTGGGCCACACTAAAGGTCACACCGGAGCGCCACGTGCGCCTCGCAATGAAAGAACACTGGGACGGAGGAATCGTCCAGCTTTGAAATATATTTTTTATTCTATTTAAAAAAAAACCCCACCCGTGATTGATCGTCGGACTTTGTCGTGTTCCCGGTGTCGATGGGTGTGCAAGTGACAAGTCTGGAAGCCGCATTCAACATCACCACGGCGGCTCGTGCCAGGCTAGGTGTTGCACGCTGAGGCCACGTCAAGTTGCCGAAGGCCCCGCTGGCAGGCCTACACGGAACAGACCCAGGTGCAATGGATTGTTGACCGGCTGAGATGGCTGGCAGATGCACCAACTCTCGCTGCTGTGAGCGTCGCTCCTCTGCCCCCCACCACCTCCCGTTGTTGCTGGAGGGCGACTGCCTCCAACTCATCAGCAGCCTCCTTCACAGGGGGCCGATCTTGACATTGCTGCTACCTACCAGTCATCAATGGACTCCACATCCTTCTGTACCGCATCAGCATCATCTCTTCTCTAGCCCCCCCCCCCAGTCTATCCGGCTGAGGCACGCGGTGGCTGGGGCATTCACAACAGACGCATCTCGGGACGAACATTTTGCTTGCCCACCGGAGCATGGACATCTGGCGGTCCCGTGACGATCCCAGCCAGCCTTCTACACCTCCCACGGGCGGCAAAGTGCACCTAGCCTGGCACGAGCGCCGTGGCGACGTCACTCGGTGGTGTTGTTGAGCGGAGTCCCACCACACCACGTTGTGTGCGGTGGTGTTGTGAGCGGAGTTCCACCACACCACGTTGTGTACGGTGGTGTTGTGAGCGGAGTCCCACCACACCACGTTGTGCGGTGGTGTTGTGAGCGGAGTCCCACCACACCACGTTGTGCGGTGGTGTTGTGACGTGGAGTCCCACCACACCCGTTGTGCTGTGGTGTTGTGACGCAGTCTCACCACACCACGTTGTGTGGTGGTGTTGTGACACGGAGTCCCACCACACCACGTTGTGTGGTGGTGTTGTGACGCAGTGAGGGGGAGGGCGGTGTCACACCAGTTCGCCACCGTTACGGCAGCATCCTGTTGTTGTTGTGGCCAGCATCCTGTTGTTGTGGCCAGCCAGTTGACTGCTACTGGCTGGCCTCCTTGTCTACCACCGCACTCTCCCTCCAACTCTCTCATCACACTCCCCTCCTCCTCCTCGTCTCCCGAGTCACACTCCCCTCCTCCTTATCTGCCTCGTCACACTCCCCTCCCTTTGCCCGTCTCCATCACACTCCCCCTCGTCTCCCTCCTATCTCTCGTCTCATTCTGCTGCCTCCTTATTCCCCGTCTCCCTCCCCTCGACTTGCCGCACCACCGTGAACAATGATTTTCCGCACAACAAACGGCGCTTGCGCTGGGTGGGACGCGCGCGTGCCGGATGGGCGTGGGGCCGATTGCCAGAGGCCCGGCATTGGAGCGGGTCTCTGTGTGAGTCTATGGGGCTCTGAGTGAGTCTATGGGTCTCTGTGTGAGTCTATGGGTCTCTGTGTGAGTCTATGGGTGTCTGTGTGAGTCTATGGGTCTCTGTGTGAGTCTATGGGTCTCTGTGTGAGTCTATGGGTGTCTGTGTGAGTCTACGGGTCTGTGTGAGTCTACGGATCTCTGTGAGTCTATGGTCTCTGTGTGAGTGAGTCTGTGTGAGTCTACAGGTCTCTGTGTGAGTCTATGGGTCTCTGTGTGAGTCTGAGCCTTTGTGTGAGTCTACGGGTCTCTGTGTGAGTCTATGTGTGAGTCTATGGGTCATTGTGTGAGTCTACGGGTCTCTGTGTGAGTCTATGGGTATCTGTGCGAGTCTATGGGTCTCTGTGTGAGTCTATGAGTCTTTGTGAGTCTACGGGTCTCTGTGTGAGTCTATGGGTATGTGTGAGTCTATGGGTATCTGTGAGTCTACGGGTCTCTGTGTGAGTCTATGGGTCTCTCCACGTTGTTAGGAGAGATCTGTGCGGCTGTAGGTGGCAAGTCTGTGGGTTTTTTGTGCGAGTCTATGGGTCTGTGCGAGCGTGGGTTTCTGTCCAAGTCTGTGGGTCTCTGAGCCTATGTAAGTCTATGGGTCTCTGTGCGAGACCCGTAGACTACTGTGTGAGTCTACGAGTCTCTTGTGTCTATGGGTCGCTGTGTGAGTCTGTGGGTATCTGTGTGAGTCTACGGGTATCTGTGTGAGTCTACGGGTCTCTGTGTGAGTCTACGGGTCTCTGTGTGTATGGGTCTCTGTGTGAGTCTATGGGTCTTTGTGCGAGTCCATAGGTCTCTGTGCGAGTCTATGGGTCTCTGTGCGAGTCTACGGGTCTTTGTGCGAGTCTATGGGTCTGTGTGAGTATATGGGTCTCTGTGTGAGTCTGAGTCTCTGTGTGAGTCTATGGGTCTCTGTGTGAGTCTATGGGTCTCTGTGTGAGTCTATGGGTCTCTGTGTGAGTCTATGGGTGTCTGTGTGAGTCTACGGGTCTGTGTGAGTCTACGGATCTCTGTGAGTCTATGGTCTCTGTGTGAGTGAGTCTGTGTGAGTCTACAGGTCTCTGTGTGAGTCTATGGGTCTCTGTGTGAGTCTGAGCCTTTGTGTGAGTCTACGGGTCTCTGTGTGAGTCTATGTGTGAGTCTATGGGTATCTGTGCGAGTCTATGGGTCTCTGTGAGTCTATGAGTCTTTGTGAGTCTACGGGTCTCTGTGTGAGTCTATGGGTATGTGTGAGTCTATGGGTATCTGTGAGTCTACGGGTCTCTGTGTGAGTCTATGGGTCTCTCCACGTTGTTAGGAGAGATCTGTGCGGCTGTAGGTGGCAAGTCTGTGGGTTTTTTGTGCGAGTCTATGGGTCTGTGCGAGCGTGGGTTTCTGTCCAAGTCTGTGGGTCTCTGAGCCTATGTAAGTCTATGGGTCTCTGTGCGAGTTTACAGGTCTCTGTGTGAGTCTATGGGTCACCGTGTAAGACTATGGGTCTCAATGTGAGTCTATGAGTCTCTGTGTGGGTTTCTGCGAGTCGATGGGTTTGTGACAGTCAGTGGGTCTCTGTGTGAGTCTATGGGTCTCGATGCGAGTCCAGCAGAGCAATGCATGGCGGGAGACTGTCAGCTCAGATCCTGGCAGGTCACCGTATCTCCACTGGAATCTCACGGAGTCTTCTTCTTTCATACAGCCGCTTATGGAGATGCAGAGAGCCAACAGCTACAATTTTTCCTATGCATGTGGTCAAGCCAGCAGATCACCGCGTCAGGCGCAGGAGCATAGCAGTGTATCAGGGGGGAATTGCACCGTTATACGTTGTACACGGTCCGGATAATCGCAGTCGCACCGTGTTCGCCGAAGGCAAGTGGAATTCCCGTTGGACCCTGGATAAGAAAATAGTTCTCAAACCTTTGCACTGTATGTACGAATGTGGCCGAATGAATGGTCACCTGAGCCTGAACGCGAACCCAGGCTTCTCAGCTGCGCTGGGCTCAGTGCCAGTCACACGACTCGTGAGAGTCGCCGAAGCGACGCTTCACCGGGTGGACGAAGTGAAGACACGACCCGCTGCCGCTGCCGTTCACGTTTTAAATGAAGCCAAGAAAAGCCGACAGGGTGTGAGGTTCACGCGCCCAACCTGCTTGTAAAATACGATCATCACCATCGACTCACAACACCTAACCCGGCGGACTCCCGGAAGCTTGCTGCTGTGGGTGTGCGTGCTTGTGCGTGTGCGTGCATGAGTGTGTTGTCAGTCGACACGTGGCACCTGCTGGGTCTGCCCCGTGACCTCCTGCCCGCGGGCGTTCGACACTTCACGTGGCCTCAAGATGCACATGGCCTGGCACAAGCGTCGTGGTGACGTCACCGCCACTTAGTGGCGAATGGCGGTTGTTGTTGTTTGTTGAGTGTGTGCGTGAGTGTGTGAGTGTGTGTGTTGTTGTTGTTGTGAGTGTGTATGCATGCGGGTGTGCGTGAGTTTGTTGTTGTTGTGAGTGTTGTTGTGAGTGTTGTTGTTGTTGTGAGTGTTGTTGTTGTTGTGAGTGTTGTTGTTGTTGTGAGTGTTGTTGTTGTGAGTGTTGTTGTTGTGAGTGTTGTTGTTGTGAGTGTTGTTGTTGTTGTGAGTGTTGTTGTTGAGTGTTGTTGTGAGTGTGTTGTTGTTGTGAGTGTGTTGTTGTTGTGAGTGTTGTTGTTGTGAGTGTTGTTGTTGTGAGTGTTGTTGTGAGTGTTGTTGTTGTTGTGAGTGTTGTTGTTGTTGTGAGTGTTGTTGCTGTTGTGAGTGTTGTTGTTGTTGTGAGTGTTGTTGTTGTTGTTGCTGTATGAATGGATGTGACGCCAGAGGTCCACGTCACTCCTTGTCGCTGTCACTGTCGTCACTGTCGTCGCTGCTGCTGCTGCCGCTGCTGCTGCCGCTGTCAGCCAACACCTTGTTCAGTGTCTCGCTGTTACACACACACACACAAAGACAAAGGTCCATCCCCGTATAGCCTTCACAGTGCGTTGGGTCAAGTGCTGTTAGCGAGCGGCACCTATGAAGACCGGCACGGTGCACGTGGGGGTTGGTGGCCAGAACCAAGTACTCGTTTAAGGCTGAGTTGACCTATTGAAGGTCCGGGACCGGTTCATATGAACGTCACTGATACTGCCCGAGGGTGGAACTCGGGTCGCCGGGTTTGTAGCAGAGTGCACTAACCACTGCACCACCGCTCCCCCCCACACAACAGTAACAACAACAGCCGCCATTCGCCATTAAGTGGCGGTGACGTTACCACGGTGCTTGTGCCAGGCTAGGTGCACTTTGAGGACACGGGAAGTGTCGAACGCCCGCTGGCCAGGAGGCCACGCGACAGACTCTGGTGCCATAGGTTGACCGACTGAGATGACTGCTGGTGGTTTGTGTATGTGTGGTGTGTGTGTGTATGTGGTTTGTGGTGTGTGTGTGTGTGTGCTTTGTGTGTGTGTGGTGTGTGTGTGGTGTGTGTGTGTGTGGTGTGTGTGGTGTGTGTGTGTGGTGTGTGTGTGTGTGGTGTGTGTGGTGTGTGTGTGTGGTGTATGTGTGGTGTGTGTGTGTGTGGTGTGTGTGTGGTGTGTGTGTGTGGTGTGTGTGTGTGGTGTGTGGTGTGTGTGTGTGTGGTGTGTGTGGTGTGTGTGTGTGTGGTGTGTGTGGTGTGTGTGTGGTGTGGTGTATGTGTGTGGTGTGTGTGTCTGTGGTGTGTGTGTGTGTGGTGTATGTGTGTGGTGTGTGGTGTGTGTGGTGTGTGTGTAGTGTATGTGTGTGGTGCATGTGTGTGTGGTGTGTGTGTGTGGTGTGTGTGTGTGGTGTGTGTGTGTGGTGTGTGTGTGGTGTGTGTGTGTGGTGTGTGTGTGTGTGGTGTGTGTGGTGTGTGTGTGGTGTGTGTGGTGTGTGTGTGGTGTATGTGTGTGTGTGTGGTGTGTGTGTGTATGGTGTGTGTGTGTGTGGTGTGTGTGTGTGTGTGGTGTGTGTGTGGTGTGTGTGGTGTGTGTGTGGTGTGTGTGTCTGTGGTGTGTGTGTGGTGTATGTGTGTGTGGTGTGTGTGGTGTATGTGTGTGTGGCGTGTGTGGTGTGTGTGTGGTGTGTGTGGTGTGTGTGTGTGGCGTGTGTGGTGTGTGTGGTGTATGTGATGTGTGGCGTGTGTGGTGTGTGTCTGTGTGGCGTGTGTGGTGTGTGTGGTGTATGTGTGTGTGGCGTGTGTGGTGTGTGTGGTGTATGTGTGTGTGGCGTGTGTGGTGTGTGTGGTGTGTGTGGTGTGTGTGGTGTGTGTGTTATGTTTGTGGTGTGTGGTGTGTGTGTGGTGTGTGTGTGTGTGTGGTGTGTGTGTGGAGTGATGGGTGAGCGAGGGACGATGGGCGGGTGGTGAGCAGGGTGAGTGGTGGTGGTGGTGAGCAGGGCGAGTGGCGGTGGTGAGCAGGGTGAGTGGCGGTTGCGGTTGCGGTGAGGAGGAGGAGGAGGAGGAGGTGGGGGGGGTCCCACCTCTGCGCGGGAGAGAGCTGCAGGCCGGCGAGGGCCGTGTGTGCCAGCGACCCTGCGCAGGCCAGCCCCAGGGCGGACGCAGCCTCCACCAGCGCCACTGCCTCCGCGTTCCAGCGCCCGCTCACCAGGTGAGCGAGCGCCTCCCGCAGCACGGCCTCACTGCGGAGGCAACGTCGGACGTCGATCGCCGCTCACCGGGTGCGAGGAGAGGGAGGGTCTCCGTGGCAACGGCGCCATTACCACCACCGCTGTTGACGTCGCCATCAATTACCGCTCGCCAGGCGAGAGCGGGTCTTCTCCATGGCAACAACATCATCGCTAACGTCATTAATCGCGCGCCTGATGTGCAACGCGGGCTCGCACATATACAAAGGCACGCAAAGGGGGCGGGTGGCCAGCACCACGCCCGGCCGCCTTTGTCTCCCCAGTGCTAGCGATGTTTACTACACACCGCAACCAGGGTACTCATTTGAGGCCGAGTCGACCTAGGGGAGCCCCGGGACCGGTTCAGATAATCGCCACCGACGTTGGTCGTGGGCGGGAGTCGAACTCGGGTTGCCGGGTTCGCAGCGCAGCTTGGCGCTAACCGCTGCGCCACCGCTCCCCGCGCACACGCAGGAGCGAGTGTGTGTCTCCCCGCGTGGGTGATCACTCACGTGGGTGCCAGGTTCCTCTGTTGGAAGAGCTGCAGGTGCTTCCTGAGGACCGAGACAGAGAGAGGGACGGGGGAGAGAGGGGAGAAGGAGAGGGAGTTGGGAGAGGGAAGGATGATAAGTGAGATTTAGATGTGGAGGGAGGATCAAAACCCGGGCTTGTAGCTTCAAGGGAGCCACCACCACGTGTTAGGGTGCCAGCGTAAATGTTAGCGAGTGAGTGCGTTAGTGAGTGAGTGTGTTAGTGAGCGTGTCAGTGAGTGTGTTAGCGAGTGTGTGTGTTAGTGAGTGTGTTAGTGAGTGTGTTAGTGTGTCAGTGAGTGTGTTAGCGAGTGTGTTAGTGTGTTAGTGAGTGTGTTAGTGAGTGTGTCAGTGAGTGAGCGTGTTAGTGAGTGTGTTAGTGAGTGAGTGTGTTAGTGAGTGTGTTAGCGAGTGAGCGTGTTAGTGAGTGTGTTAGTGAGTCAGTGTGTTAGTGAGTGAGTGTGTTAGCGAGTGAGTGTGTTAGCGAGCGAGTGTGTTAGCGAGTGAGTGTGTTAGCGAGTGAGTGTGTTAGTGAGTGTGTTAGTGAGTGAGTGTGTTAGTGAGTGTGTTAGTGAGTGAGCGTGTTAGTGATTGTGTTAGTGAGTGAGCGTGTTAGTGAGTGAGCATGTTAGTGCGTTAGTGAGTGAGTGTGTTCGTGAGTGAGTGTGTTAGTGAGTGTGTTAGCAAGTGAGTGTGTTAGTGAGTGAGTGTGTTAGCCAGTGAGTTAGCGAGTGAGTAAGTGAGTGTGTTAGTGAGTGAGTGTGTTAGTGAGTGTGTTAGCGAGTGAGTGTGTGAGTGAGTGAGCGTGTTAATGAGTGAGAGTGTTAGCGAGTGAGCGTGTTAGCGTGTGTTCTCGTGTGTTAGCGTGTTAGCGTGTGTTAGCGCGTGAGATAGCAGGCTTTCTCCGTGAGCGTGTGTGTGAGCGCGTGCGTGCATGTGTTAGCGCGTGCGTAAGTGTGTGTTAGCGCGTGCGTAAGTGTGTGTTAGCGCGTGCGTAAGTGTGTGTTAGCGCGTGCGTAAGTGTGTGTTAGCGCGTGCGTAAGTGTGTGTTAGCGCGTGCGTAAGTGTGTGTTAGCGCGTGCGTAAGTGTGTGTTAGGGCGTGCGTAAGTGTGTGTTAGCGCGTGCGTAAGTGTGTGTTAGGGCGTGCGTAAGTGTGTGTTAGCGCGTGCGTAAGTGTGTGCTAGGGCGTGCGTAAGTGTGTGTTAGGTCGTGCGTAAGTGTGTGTTAGCGCGTGCGTAAGTGTGTGTTAGCGCGTGCGTAAGTGTGTGTTAGGGCGTGCGTAAGTGTGTGTTAGCGCGTGCGTAAGTGTGTGTTAGGGCGTGCGTAAGTGTGTGTTAGGGCGTGCGTAAGTGTGTGTTAGCGCGTGCGTAAGTGTGTGTTAGGGCGTGCGTAAGTGTGTGTTAGCGCATGCGTAAGTGTGTGTTAGGGCGTGCGTGCGTGTGTTGGCGCGTGCGTGAGTGTGTGTTAGCGCGTGCGTGCGTGTGTTGGCGCGTGCGTGAGTGTGTGTTAGCGCGTGCATGTGTGTGTGTTGGCGCGTGCTTGAGTGTGTGTTGGCACGTGTGTGTGTGTTAACGCGTGCATGAGTGTGTGTTGGCGCGTGCGTGAGCGTGTGTTAACGTGTGCGTGACTGTGTGTTGGCGCGTGCGTGACTGTGTGTTAACGCGTGCGTGAGTGTGTTAACGCGTGCGTGAGTGTGTGTTAACGCGTGCGTGACTGTGTGTTGGCGCGTGCGTGACTGTGTGTTAACGCGTGCGTGAGTGTGTGTTGGCACGTGCGAGTGTGTGTGAGCGCGTGCGTGAGTGTGTGTTAGCGCGTGCGTGCGTGTGTAAGCGCGTGCGTGAGTGTGTGTTAGCGCGTGCGTGAGTGTGTGTTAGGGCGTGCATGTGTGTGTGTTGGCACGTGTGTGTGTGTTAACGCGTGCATGAGTGTGTGTTGGCGCGTGCGTGAGCGTGTGTTAACGCGTGCATGACTGTGTGTTAGCGCGTGCGAGTGTGTTGGCGAGTGCGTGTGTGTTGGCGCGTGCGTGAGTGTGTTAACGCGTGCGTGACTGTGTGTTGGCGCGTGCGTGTGTGTTAACGCGTGCGTGACTGTGTGTTGGCGCGTGCGTGAGTGTGTGTTAACGCGTGCGTGACTGTGTGTTGGCACGTGCGTTACTGTGTGTTGGCACGTGCGAGTGTGTTGGCATGTGCGAGTGTGTTGGCACGTGCGTTACTGTGTGTTGGTACCTGTGTGTGTGTGTGTGTTGGCACGTGACTGTGTGTTGGCACGTGCGTTACTGTGTGTTGGCACGTGTGTGTGTGTTGGCACGTGCGTTACCAGGCTTTCTCCGTGAGGCCCGCACGGACCAGCAGCTGTGTGGCCTGCTCCAGGGACCGGGCCGTCCACCGGAGGCCCAGAGGCCTACGCGCCTCCTCCTGCGGCTGGGGTGACATTCGCTGGGACACCTCTAGCACCACGGCGGAAAGAGCAGCCTGCACCTGCACGCACGCAGAGACAAAGGTCCCCCAGGTGGCCCACGCAGACCGGTCAGGGCAAGAGCTCCGTGTTTACATACCGCGCCGGGTTCTCGTTCAAGGCTGAGTCGACCTAGGGGAGGCCCGAGGTTGGTTCAAATATTTTGCCCCGACAGTCTGTCAAGGCTATATCTGTGTGTGTGTGGTTGACACTGTAGTTGTGTGTGTGTGGTTGACACTGTGGTTGTGTGTGTGTGGTTGACAATGTAGTTGTGTGTGTGTGGTTGACAATGTAGTTGTGTGTGTGTGGTTGACACTAGTTGTGTGTGGTTGACACTGTAGTTGTGTGTGTGTGGTTGACACTGTAGTTGTGTGTGTGTGGTTGACACTGTAGTTGTGTGTGTGTGGTTGACACTGTAGTTGTGTGTGTGGTTGACACTGTGGTTGTGTGTGTGTGGTTGACACTGTAGTTGTGTGTGTGTGGTTGACACTGTAGTTGTGTGTGTGTGGTTGACACTGTAGTTGTGTGTGTGTGGTTGACACTGTAGATGTGTGTGTGTGGTTGACACTGTGGTTGTGTGTGTGGTTGACACTGGTTGTGTGTGTGTGGTTGACACTGTAGTTGTGTGTGGTTGACACTGTAGTTGTGTGTGTGTGGTTGACACTGTAGTTGTGTGTGTGTGGTTGACACTGTAGTTGTGTGTGTGGTTGACACTGTAGTTGTGTGTGTGTGGTTGACACTGTAGTTGTGTGTGTGTGGTTGACACTGTGGTTGTGTGTGTGTGGTTGACAGTGTAGTTGTGTGTGTGTGGTTGACACTGTAGTTGTGTGTGGTTGACACTGTAGTTGTGTGTGTGGTTGACACTGTAGTTGTGTGTGGTTGACACTGTAGTTGTGTGTGTGTGGTTGACACTGTAGTTGTGTGTGGTTGACACTGTAGTTGTGTGTGTGTGGTTGACACTGTAGTTGTGTGTGTGTGGTTGACACTGTGGTTGTGTGGTTGACACTATAGTTGCGTGTGTGTGGTTGACACTGTAGTTGTGTGTGTGGTTGACACTGTGGTTGTGTGTGGTTGACACTGTAGTTGTGTGTGTGTGGTTGATACTGTAGTTGTGTGTGTGTGGTTGTTGTGCGTGCATGTGGTTGGTGATTACCGTTGGGCTGTGTTTTTCTCGTGCCATCACAGCCAAAGCTTCCTCCACCACATCCTTCCGCTCAGAGTGACCAAACATCTTGACATCTGTACACACGCACGCACACACACACACGCACGCACACGCACGCATGCACACACACGCATGCATGCACGCACACACACGCACGCACTCGCATGCAAGCACAAACGCACGCACGCACACATGCACGCACGCACTCGCACACACGCACGTACACACGCACGTACACACGCACGTACACACGCACACACACGCCCGCACGCACACACGTACGCGCGCATACACGCACGCATGCACGCACACACACACACGCGCATACACGCACGCACACGCACGCACACACACGCAAACGTGCACCACCACACGTGCATTATACAACAACAGCCGCTGCCATTCGCCACTAAGCGGCGGTGGAAATCACCACGATGCTTGTGCCAGGCTGGGTGCATTTTGAGGCAGTCGTGTGAAGTGCGGACGGCTCTCGCTGCTGGCAGGTGGCTGGTGGTGTGTGCGCATAATTCACAGAGACCACCGCACAGCACACGTGTGTGTGTGTGTGGGGAGCGGTAGAGGAGGCTCATGAAGGATGCTACAGGGCAATTGGAGGAACAACCGAGGGCAGAGGAGCGATGATCACAGCAACGAGCGGAGCGCCGGGGTACAGCCGGGTGCATCTACCAGTCATCTGCGTAAGCCAACCCATGGCACCCGGGTCTATCCCGTGACCTCCTGTTGGCGAGCCTTCGACATTTCACGCGGCCTCAAAGTGCACGTAGCCTGTCACCCAGCGGCGAATGTCGGGTATTAGTCTTGGTATTGGAGCGGTGGTGCAGCGGTTAGCGCTACGCTGCGCTCCGAACCCAACCACCCGAGTGACGATTGCCTGGACCAGTCCTGGGCTTCCCCTAGGTCGACTCAGCCTCAAATGAGTAACTGGTGCGGTGTGTCAACATTAGTCTTGGTATTGGAGCGGTGGTGCAGCGGTTAGCGCTACGCTGCGCTCCGAACCCAACCACCCGAGTGACGATTGCCTGGACCAGTCCTGGGCTTCCCCTAGGTCGACTCAGCCTCAAATGAGTAACTGGTGCGGTGTGTCAACATTAGTCTTGGTATTGGAGCGGTGGTGCAGCGGTTAGCGCTACGCTGCGCTCCGAACCCAACCACCCGAGTGACGATTGCCTGGACCAGTCCTGGGCCTCCCCTAGGTCGACTCAGCCTCAAATTGAGCACCTGGTGCGGTGTGTCAACATCGCCACTGGGGAGACAAAGGTGGCCGGGCGTGGCGCTGGCAACCCGCCCCCTCGTGCGCTGTTCCCGGCCTTCATAGGTGCTACTTGCCAACAGCACTTGCTCCAAGTCATGTTAAAGGCTACACGGGGGATCTTTGTCTTTGTGTGTGTGTGTGTGCCGCACCCTGCCACACAGAGGGAATGAGGTCGACTCTGGAGTTCATGTCCAGTGCCTGGATCAGCTCCACCATGATGCGCGAGCTGGGGAAGCTGCTCTGTGCGCGGCACAACAACATCAACAACAACATCAACAACATCAACAACATCAACAACAACATCAACAACATCAACAACATCAACAACATCAACAACAACATCAACAACATCAACAACATCAACAACACCATCAACACAGCATCAACACACCATCATCACAACATCGGCAACAACATAATCGCATCACAATATTAGCAACAACAATATGAAAACATCATCACACCAACAACATGAACAACGTCACAACATCAACAACGTCGTAACATCATCACATCAACAAAGCATCAACCCCACGATGGCATCAACATAACGTCAGCGTGACAACACAAACACGACAGCATCAACGCAACAGCATCTGCACAATGTCAACACGAACGTCAGCACGACAACATCAACACGCGCACGTGTTCATGACAAGGTGGACCAGGTGCGGTTGTAACAACAGCCAAACCCTCGATTACCCGTGGTGACGAACGTTGTGACGGTTGTTGTTGTTGCTGCACGTGAGAAACCACTCGTTTAAAACCATCACCTACTTTCGTTATTTTACCAGGGTAAGGCCCCAGTTGAGGTGCGTAGCGGCGACGGTGAGCGCCAGGCACGTGTGCCGTGGGTGGCCCTGCTGTTATCATTAACGTCACAATGACGCTCGCTTGACCCAGCAAGGCCTCGCCGAGACTCGTCGTTCTGGGGGCTCCTGCGAGGTGTTGCGCAGGAGGGGGCAGGCGATGATGCTGCTGCTGCTGATGCTTGGTCCCTACTGGACATCTGTGAATTTGGGGTTCATCGCTCATCGGATTTCTCCCGCGTAAAGATTCTGCTTCTGAGTGACTTGCGGGGTAAATCTTACAGCCTTGAAACTCAACTATTTTTTTATTTTTATTTTACCACGCAAGGTAACCACTTGAGCGATGGAGCTCTCTTTCAGAAGCGACCTGACATGGGGAGAGAGAGACACGCAAACTCCAAATATACAGCAGCAGCAGGCGTCAGGGTCGGGATTGAACCCACGACCTCCTGCACACCAGGCGGGGTAGTTAACATCTCCTAGCCACAGTGATGATGATGAGAGAGACACGCAGACTCGGTCTTGTTGTGGTGGTTGTGGTGTTTGTTGTGGTTATGGTGTGTGGTGTGGTTGTGGTTAGTGTTTGTAGCAGTTGTGGTTGGTGTGGTAGTCGTATGGTTGTGGTGTGGTTGTGGTGTCGTTATGGTATGATTGTGTTGTGGTTGTGCGTGTGGTTGCTCTTTGCAGAGGCTGTGGAGTGGTTGTGTGTGGTGTGGTTGTATGTGGTGCGGTTGTGGTGTGGTTGGTGTTTGTAGTGGTTGTGGTGTGGTTGTGTGTAGTGTGGTGTGGTTGTGGTGTGGTTGGTGTGTGTAGTGGTTGTGGTGTGGTTGTGGTGTGGTTGTGGTGTCGTTGTGGTGTGGTTGGTGTTTGTAGTGGTTGTGGTGTGGTTGTATGTGGTGTGGTTGTGGTGTGGTTGGTGTTTGTAGTGGTTGTGGTGTGGTTGCATGTGGTGTGGTTGTATGTGGCGTGGTTGTGTGTGGTGTGGTTGTGGTGTTTGTAGTGATTGTGGTGTGGTTGTGTGTGGTGTGGTTGTATGTGGTGTGGTTGTGTGTGGTGTGGTTGTGTGTGGTGTGGTTGGTGTTTGTAGTGGTTGTGGTGTGGTTGTATGTGGTGTGGTTGTGGTGTGGTTGTGGTGTGGTTGGTGTTTGTAGTGGTTGTGGTGTGGTTGTGTGTGGTGTGGTTGTATGTGGTGTGGTTGTGGTGTGGTTGTGGTGTGGTTGGTGTTTGTAGTGGTTGTGGTGTCGTTGTGTGTGGTGTGGTTGTGTGTGGTGTGGCTGTATGTGGTGTGGTTGTGTGTGGTGTGGTTGCATGTGGTGTGGTTGTGTGTGGTGTGGTTGTGGTGTTTGTAGTGCGGTTGCGGTGCGGTTGCGTGGTTCACCGAGGGGATGAAGTATCGCTTGTAGAACTCCATGATGGTCTCCATGCTCTCCAGCTGACACAGCAGAGTGAAGAACCGGGAACTGCACACGGGGACACAAAGACACGGGGATTGAGAGACACGGGGATTGAGAGACACGGGGATTGAAAGACACGGGGACACACAGACACGGGGATTGAGAGACACGGGGATTGAGAGACACAGGGATTGAGAGACACGGGGACACAAAGACACGGGGATTGAGAGACATGGGGACACAAAGACACGGGGACACACAGACACGGGGATTGAGAGACACGGGGATTGAGAGACACGGGGACACACAGACACGGGGATTGAGAGACATGGGGACACAAAGACACGGGGATTGAGAGACACGGGGATTGAGAGACACGGGGACACAGAGACACGGGGGACACAGAGCCACAGAGACATGGGGACACGGGGATATGGGAACACGGAGACACAGGGCCATCGGGACACAGGGATATGGAGATATAGAGTCACGAGCACACGGGAATTTATAGACGCGGAGACACGGAGACACAGGGACACGGAGACATGGGAATTTAGAGACATAGAGACACAGGAATGTAGAGACATAGAGACACAGGAACAGGAATGTAGAGACATAGAGACACAGGAATGTAGAGACATAGAGACACAGGAATGTAGAGACAGAGACACAGGAATGTAGAGACATAGAGACACAGGAATGTAGAGACATAGAGACACAGGAATGTAGAGACATAGAGACACAGGAATGTAGAGACATAGAGACACAGGAATGTAGAGACATAGAGACACAGGAATGTAGAGACATAGAGACACAGGAATGTAGAGACATAGAGACACAGGAATGTAGAGACATAGAGACACAGAAATGTAGAGACATAGAGACACAGAAATGTAGAGACATAGAGACACAGGAATGTAGAGACATAGAGACACAGGAATGTAGAGACATAGAGACACAGGAATGTAGAGACATAGAGACACAGGAATGTAGAGACATAGAGACACGGGGACACAGAGACACAGGAATGTAGAGACATAGAGACACAGGAATGTAGAGACATAGAGACACAGGAATGTAGAGACATAGAGACACAGGAATGTAGAGACATAGAGACACAGGAATGTAGAGACATAGAGACACAGGAATGTAGAGACATAGAGACACAGGAATGTAGAGACATAGAGACACAGGAATGTAGAGACATAGAGACACAGGAATGTAGAGACATAGAGACACAGGAATGTAGAGACATAGAGACACAGGAATGTAGAGACATAGAGACATAGGAATGTAGAGACATAGAGACACGGGGACACAGAGACACAGGAATGTAGAGACATAGAGACACAGGAATGTAGAGACATAGAGACACAGGAATGTAGAGACATAGAGACACAGGAATGTAGAGACATAGAGACACAGGAATGTAGAGACATAGAGACACAGGAATGTAGAGACATAGAGACACAGGAATGTAGAGACATAGAGACACAGGAATGTAGAGACATAGAGACACAGGAATGTAGAGACATAGAGACACAGGAATGTAGAGACATAGAGACACAGGAATGTAGAGACATAGAGACACAGGAATGTAGAGACATAGAGACACAGGAATGTAGAGACATAGAGACACGGGGACACAGAGACACAGGAATGTAGAGACATAGAGACACAGGAATGTAGAGACATAGAGACACAGGAATGTAGAGACATAGAGACACAGGAATGTAGAGACATAGAGACACAGGAATGTAGAGACATAGAGACACAGGAATGTAGAGACATAGAGGACACAGGAATGTAGAGACATAGAGACACAGGAATGTAGAGACATAGAGACACAGGAATGTAGAGACATAGAGACACAGGAATGTAGAGACATAGAGACACAGGAATGTAGAGGACATAGAGACACAGGAATGTAGAGACATAGAGGACACAGGAATGTAGAGACATAGAGACACAGGAATGTAGAGACATAGAGACACAGGAATGTAGAGACATAGAGACACAGGAATGTAGAGACATAGAGACACAGGAATGTAGAGACATAGAGACACAGGAATGTAGAGACATAGAGACATAGGAATGTAGAGACATAGAGACACAGGAATGTAGAGACATAGAGACACAGGAATGTAGAGACATAGAGACACAGGAATGTAGAGACATAGAGACACAGGAATGTAGAGACATAGAGACACAGGAATGTAGAGACATAGAGACACAGGAATGTAGAGACATAGAGACACAGGAATGTAGAGACATAGAGACATAGGAATGTAGAGACATAGAGACACAGGAATGTAGAGACATAGAGACACAGGAATGTAGAGACATAGAGACACAGGAATGTAGAGACATAGAGACACAGGAATGTAGAGACATAGAGGACATAGGAATGTAGAGACATAGAGACACAGGAATGTAGAGACATAGATACACAGGAATGTAGAGACATAGAGACACAGGAATGTAGAGACATAGAGACACAGGAATGTAGAGACATAGAGACATAGGAATGTAGAGACATAGAGACACAGGAATGTAGAGACATAGAGACACAGGAATGTAGAGACATAGAGACACAGGAATGTAGAGACATAGAGACACGGGGACACAGAGACACAGGAATGTAGAGACATAGAGACACAGGAATGTAGAGACATAGAGACACAGGAATGTAGAGACATAGAGACATAGGAATGTAGAGACATAGAGACACAGGAATGTAGAGACATAGAGACACAGGGACAGGGAGACACAGGGAGACACAGAGATAAGGGCACATGGAGGACATAGGGACACAGGGATATGGGGACACAGAGACATGGGAATTTACCTACACAAAGACACGGGGACGCAGGGATATGTGGACACGGAGACACGGGGAAACGGGCATATGCGGACACGGGGACATGGAGACATGGGGGAGACGCGGACACAAAGACACGGAGACACGGAGACTCTGCCTTACTAGTAAGCCGAGTGTTGTTGGGGGCTGAGGAACCGCCAGTTGTCGCCAGTCTCCAGGAGCTGGTTGAGTCGGTACGCGAGGTCCACGTCCTTCAGCATCAAGCACTGCGTACACAGCAAGCACAAAGACGCCCCGTGTAGCCCACACGCCGACCGGGGGCAAGTGCCGCTGGCGTGACGTGGCCGGAGTGGCTGGTGTGTCTGGTGTGTCTGGAGTGTCTGGTGTGTCTGGTGTGGCCGGAGTGTCTGGTGTGGCCGGTGTGTCTGGAGTGTCTGGAGTGGCCGGCGTGTCTGGTGTGTCTGGTGTGTCTGGAGTGTCTGGTGTGTCTGGTGTGTCTGGAGTGTCTGGAGTGTCTGGAGTGTCTGGTGTGGCCGGAGTGTCTGGAGTGTCTGGTGTGTCTGGAGTGTCTGGAGTGTCTGGTGTGTCTGGTGTGTCTGGTGTGTCTGGAGTGTCTGGTGTGTCTGGAGTGTCTGGTGTGTCTGGTGTGTCTGGTGTGGCCGGTGTGTCTGGTGTGTCTGGTGTGTCTGGAGTGTCTGGTGTGGCCGGAGTGGCCGGTGTGTCTGGTGTGGCCGGAGTGGCTGGAGTGTCTGGTGTGTCTGGTGTGTCTGGAGTGTCTGGTGTGTCTGGAGTGTCTGGAGTGTCTGGAGTGTCTGGTGTGTCTGGTGTGTCTGGAGTGTCTGGAGTGTCTGGTGTGTCTGGAGTGTCTGGTGTGTCTGGAGTGTCTGGAGTGTCTGGTGTGTCTGGAGTGTCTGGTGTGTCTGGAGTGTCTGGTGTGTCTGGTGTGTCTGGAGTGTCTGGAGTGTCTGGTGTGTCTGGAGTGTCTGGTGTGTCTGGTGTGTCTGGAGTGTCTGGTGTGTCTGGAGTGTCTGGTGTGTCTGGTGTGTCTGGAGTGTCTGGAGTGTCTGGTGTGTCTGGAGTGTCTGGTGTGTCTGGAGTGTCTGGTGTGTCTGGTGTGTCTGGAGTGTCTGGTGTGTCTGGAGTGTCTGGTGTGTCTGGTGTGTCTGGAGTGTCTGGTGTGTCTGGTGTGTCTGGTGTGTCTGGTGTGTCTGGAGTGTCTGGAGTGTCTGGTGTGTCTGGAGTGTCTGGTGTGTCTGGTGTGTCTGGTGTGTCTGGTGTGTCTGGAGTGTCTGGTGTGTCTGGTGTGTCTGGTGTGTCTGGAGTGTCTGGAGTGTCTGGAGTGTCTGGTGTGTCTGGTGTCTGGAGTGTCTGGAGTGTCTGGTGTGTCTGGTGTGTCTGGAATGTCTGGAGTGTCTGGTGTGTCTGGTGTGTCTGGAGTGTCTGGAGTGTCTGGAGTGTCTGGTGTGTCTGGTGTGTCTGGAGTGTCTGGAGTGTCTGGTGTGTCTGGAGTGTCTGGAGTGTCTGGTGTGTCTGGTGTGTCTGGAGTGTCTGGAGTGTCTGGTGTGTCTGGTGTGTCTGGTGTGTCTGGAGTGTCTGGTGTGTCTGGAGTGTCTGGAGTGTCTGGTGTGTCTGGTGTGTCTGGAGTGTCTGGTGTGTCTGGAGTGTCTGGAGTGTCTGGAGTGTCTGGTGTGTCTGGTGTGTCTGGTGTGTCTGGTGTGTCTGGAGTGTCTGGAGTGTCTGGTGTGTCTGGAGTGTCTGGAGTGTCTGGTGTGTCTGGAGTGTCTGGAGTGTCTGGAGTGTCTGGTGTGTCTGGTGTGTCTGGTGTGTCTGGAGTGTCTGGTGTGTCTGGAGTGTCTGGAGTGTCTGGTGTGTCTGGAGTGTCTGGTGTGTCTGGTGTGTCTGGTGTGTCTGGAGTGTCTGGAGTGTCTGGAGTGTCTGGTGTGTCTGGAGTGTCTGGAGTGTCTGGTGTGTCTGGAGTGTCTGGTGTGTCTGGTGTGTCTGGAGTGTCTGGTGTGTCTGGTGTGTCTGGAGTGTCTGGAGTGTCTGGTGTGTCTGAGTGTCTGGAGTGTCTGGTGTGTCTGGAGTGTCTGGAGTGTCTGGTGTGTCTGGTGTGTCTGGAGTGTCTGGTGTGTCTGGTGTGTCTGGAGTGTCTGGTGTGTCTGGTGTGTCTGGTGTGTCTGGTGTGTCTGGTGTGTCTGGAATGTCTGGTGTGTCTGGAGTGTCTGGTGTGTCTGGAGTGTCTGGTGTGTCTGGTGTGTCTGGAGTGTCTGGTGTGTCTGGAGTGTCTGGAGTGTCTGGTGTGTCTGGTGTGTCTGGAGTGTCTGGAGTGTCTGGTGTGTCTGGTGTGTCTGGAGTGTCTGGAGTGTCTGGTGTGTCTGGAGTGTCTGGAGTGTCTGGTGTGTCTGGTGTGTCTGGAGTGTCTGGAGTGTCTGGTGTGTCTGGTGTGTCTGGTGTGTCTGGAGTGTCTGGTGTGGCCGGTGTGTCTGGTGTATCTGGTGTGTCTGGTGTGGCCGGTGTGTCTGGTGTGTCTGGTGTGTCTGGAGTGTCTGGTGTGGCCGGAGTGGCCGGTGTGTCTGGTGTGGCTGGAGTGTCTGGTGTGTCTGGTGTGTCTGGTGTGTCTGGAGTGTCTGGTGTGTCTGGAGTGTCTGGTGTGTCTGGAGTGTCTGGTGTGTCTGGTGTGTCTGGAGTGTCTGGAGTGTCTGGTGTGTCTGGAGTGTCTGGTGTGTCTGGAGTGTCTGGAGTGTCTGGTGTGTCTGGTGTGTCTGGTGTGTCTGGAGTGTCTGGTGTGTCTGGAGTGTCTGGAGTGTCTGGTGTGTCTGGTGTGTCTGGAGTGTCTGGATTGTCTGGTGTGTCTGGTGTGTCTGGTGTGTCTGGAGTGTCTGGAGTGTCTGGTGTGTCTGGAGTGTCTGGAGTGTCTGGTGTGTCTGGAGTGTCTGGAGTGTCTGGTGTGTCTGGTGTGTCTGGTGTGTCTGGTGTGTCTGGAGTGTCTGGTGTGTCTGGAGTGTCTGGAGTGTCTGGTGTGTCTGGTGTGTCTGGAGTGTCTGGAGTGTCTGGTGTGTCTGGAGTGTCTGGTGTGTCTGGTGTGTCTGGAGTGTCTGGAGTGTCTGGAGTGTCTGGTGTGTCTGGAGTGTCTGGTGTGTCTGGAGTGTCTGGTGTGTCTGGAGTGTCTGGTGTGTCTGGAGTGTCTGGTGTGTCTGGAGTGTCTGGAGTGTCTGGTGTGTCTGGTGTGTCTGGAGTGTCTGGTGTGTCTGGAGTGTCTGGTGTGTCTGGTGTGTCTGGAGTGTCTGGTGTGTCTGGTGTGTCTGGTGTGTCTGGAGTGTCTGGAGTGTCTGGTGTGTCTGGAGTGTCTGGAGTGTCTGGTGTGTCTGGTGTGTCTGGTGTGTCTGGTGTCTGGTGTGTCTGGTGTGTCTGGAGTGTCTGGAGTGTCTGGTGTGTCTGGAGTGTCTGGAGTGTCTGGTGTGTCTGGAGTGTCTGGTGTGTCTGGTGTGTCTGGAGTGTCTGGTGTGTCTGGTGTGTCTGGAGTGTCTGGTGTGTCTGGAGTGTCTGGTGTGTCTGGTGTGTCTGGAGTGTCTGGTGTGTCTGGTGTGTCTGGTGTGGCCGGTGTGTCTGGTGTGTCTGGTGTCTGGAGTGTCTGGAGTGTCTGGTGTGGCCGGAGTGGCTGGTGTGTCTGGAATGTCTGGTGTGTCTGGTGTGTCTGGTGTGTCTGGAGTGTCTGGTGTGTCTGGTGTGTCTGGAGTGTCTGGTGTGTCTGGAGTGTCTGGTGTGTCTGGTGTGTCTGGTGTGTCTGGAGTGTCTGGAGTGTCTGGTGTGTCTGGTGTGTCTGGTGTGTCTGGTGTGTCTGGTGTGTCTGGAGTGTCTGGTGTGTCTGGTGTGGCCGGAGTGGCTGGTGTGTCTGGTGTGTCTGGTGTGTCTGGTGTGTCTGGTGTGTCTGGAGTGTCTGGTGTGTCTGGAGTGTCTGGTGTGTCTGGTGTGTCTGGTGTGTCTGGAGTGTCTGGTGTGTCTGGTGTGTCTGGTGTGTCTGGTGTGTCTGGTGTGTCTGGTGTGTCTGGTGTGTCTGGTGTGTCTGGAGTGTCTGTGTGTCTGGTGGTCTGGAGTGTCTGGTGTGTCTGGTGTGTCTGGAGTGTCTGGTGTGTCTGGTGTGTCTGGAGTGTCTGGTGTGTCTGGTGTGTCTGGAGTGTCTGGTGTGTCTGGTGTGTCTGGTGTGTCTGGTGTGTCTGGAGTGTCTGGAGTGTCTGGTGTGTCTGGAGTGTCTGGTGTGTCTGGTGTCTGGAGTGTCTGGTGTGTCTGGTGTCTGGTGTGTCTGGAGTGTCTGGTGTGTCTGGTGTGTCTGGAGTGTCTGGTGTGTCTGGAGTGTCTGGTGTGTCTGGTGTGTCTGGTGTGTCTGGAGTGTCTGGTGTGTCTGGTGTGTCTGGAGTGTCTGGAGTGTCTGGTGTGTCTGGAGTGTCTGGTGTGTCTGGTGTGTCTGGAGTGTCTGGTGTGTCTGGAGTGGCCGGTGTGTCTGGTGTGTCTGGTGTGTCTGGTGTGTCTGGTGTGTCTGGTGTGTCTGGTGTGTCTGGTGTGTCTGGAGTGTCTGGTGTGTCTGGTGTGTCTGGTGTGTCTGGTGTGTCTGGTGTGTCTGGTGTGTCTGGTGTGTCTGGTGTGTCTGGAGTGTCTGGTGTGTCTGGTGTGTCTGGAGTGTCTGGAGTGTCTGGTGTGTCTGGAGTGTCTGGTGTGTCTGGTGTGTCTGGTGTGTCTGGAGTGTCTGGTGTGTCTGGAGTGTCTGGTGTGTCTGGTGTGTCTGGAGTGTCTGGTGTGTCTGGTGTGTCTGGAGTGTCTGGAGTGTCTGGAGTGTTTGGTGTGTCTGGAGTGTCTGGTGTGTCTGGTGTGTCTGGAGTGTCTGGTGTGTCTGGTGTGTCTGGTGTGTCTGGTGTGTCTGGAGTGGCCGGTGTGTCTGGTGTGTCTGGTGTGTCTGGAGTGTCTGGTGTGTCTGGAGTGTCTGGTGTGTCTGGAGTGTCTGGTGTGTCTGGTGTGTCTGGTGTGTCTGGTGTGTCTGGAGTGTCTGGTGTGTCTGGTGTGTCTGGAGTGTCTGGTGTGTCTGGAGTGTCTGGAGTGTCTGGTGTGTCTGGAGTGTCTGGTGTGTCTGGAGTGTCTGGTGTGTCTGGTGTGTCTGGAGTGTCTGGTGTGTCTGGTGTGTCTGGAGTGTCTGGTGTGTCTGGAGTGTCTGGTGTGTCTGGAGTGTCTGGTGTGTCTGGAGTGTCTGGAGTGTCTGGTGTGTCTGGAGTGTCTG